TCGAACCGAATGATCTACGTAAGCGTTCCGATCGCGAGTGGTAGCTTCCGCACCATCCCGTCGTAGATCCAAACAAGCTGGGTAAGGTGCGCCGAGTCCTTAATGGGGCTTCTAAGCTTCACTTCTAAGTTTCACTTAAATAAGTCCTTATCGGTGGGTCCAGCAGACCTACTCCAATATTTAATTTTTGGAGAGTCCGTCAACAAAGTACGCCGTCTCCGCGGATATATAGGGTATGTTCCTCCAAGCAGGAGTCCTCGCCAGCGGTCAAAATTCGCTCCGTTCTTTGTGGCGGGAGGAGACCACTTCCGAGCTGTTAGTTCACCACTACACTCGCCCTATATTCGGCGCACGGGATTCGCCTACATGCGCCAATTTGCGCGGGCGTTGCGAAAAACAGCAACTGATAAAATGTCCAGATACCCTGAGACCGCATCAGTCGTGAACGGAAGTTATTACATAAAGATTACTTGTAATCGTTCGAGAACGTTACCCATGCAATTACAATAAGCCGTGATTCCGCACAAAACTCAAATGTCTTCCATCTTTGGTAAAGCTTGCGTTGCACCCATGAAAGCGCTATCTCTACCGAAGCTAGAGCTTCAAGCTGCTCTGCTCGCCACACGACTGAAAGATGATATACTGACAGCCCTTACTGTCAGCATTAATCATGTCTACATGTTGTCAGATATTACTACAGTTTTGCATTGGCTAAACTCCAGTAACAAATTAACTATATTCTTCGCTCACCGTATCGGCAAAATCTTCGAATCGACCACTATTGATGAGTGGCACCATGTTCTGAGCGGCAATAATCCAGCTGATACCGGAACGCGGGGATTTCTTCGGAAGTCCACAAGGATAATAGCTGGGTTATTCATCTGAGCATACTTAGGACTACTCATTGGCCGTTTATACCCGATGAAATTCGTTTGAAGGGTACTTTTTGTGATGTTGATAATTGCTTGCTGACATCATCATCCTTCCTATCCGATGTCACATCCAACAAATATCCCGAACACGGGTTCAATTGGGAACAGGTTTAGTTTCTTTACGAGATATAAAAGAGTTGTCGCCCTCATGTTGAGGATGCTGCCTTCACATAAACATTTTCGCGGTAAGGACTTACGGATCACCGACCCCACTGAAATTGATATTGCAGAAAACAATCTAATTCATCTTGCTCTGATGGAATCTTTCACAGTCGAGATGAAAACACTCACCAATGGCAAACCTATTTTAAAAGTAGGTAATTTGCCATATACTCTCAATTTATCGGCCCCGCTGGTATCATTCGTTCCACCAGACGGATCGTTCGCCTAGTGAATACCGAATTTGATACTAAGCACCCAATAATACTCAAAGCCCGACATACCCTAGTTCGATTGTTGGCCCGCAGCCTCCACTATAAGCATTTTCATCAAGAATTAGATTACATGCGCTCCCTTTTCAATAAGAAATATGCAATACTGGGGATGCGTCGGCTACTTCGGTCTATCAAAAACCAATGTGTAACATGCCGTAAATTCAAAGCAAACACGATCCAGCCAATTATATCCGATTTACCTATCAAACATCACGGATATAAGGAACCACACTTTAACCATATGGATGTGGATTATTTTGGTCCGCTTTACAATCCGGTTTGCAAAAGCACTCAAAAAAGATGGGGATTTCTTTTCACTTGCCTCACCACCCGGGCTGTACACCTTGAGATTGTACCATCTCTGGACACTAGTTCTTGTGTCATTGGCATTGAACGGTTCTTTGCGTGTAGTGGTACACCAAGCACCATCTGGTCGGATAACGGCACGGTTTTCGTTGGTGCGGAAAAACAATTACTCGCCTGCATCAAGAGTTGGATGGCATGGCTCCGACCGTTTTTGCACACAAAGGTTTGCTTAGAAATTTAACCCACCATTAGTGCTAATTCACCTGAGTTAGAAGCGTTAACCCCAAACCATTTTTTGTTTGGAAAACATGCCACAGGCTTTACGTGGTTTTTACATGGGGAGGACTTCGACCACAAAAAAAGGTTGTGCGAGCGCAGTCGTATGCTAACGCTATTTGGTCTCGTTGGCTTCGCGAATATGTTCCCTCACTCAATAAGCGTGTCAAGTGGCACACGCAGTCTGACTTCACAATTAGAACGGGATCTGATATGGGTGATTGAGCCCGATAGTCCGCGGGGGTACTACACTCTCGCCCGAATCATTAAGCTACATTATGGACAGGACGGTTGCACACGATCAGCCCTTGTTCAGACCGCAACCCGTGAAAACACTCAGCCGACCGTAGAGCTCGCTCCTGTTCTTCCTTCTTCATGGGGGAGGATGTTGTAATGCAAGTGTAAACGAGAGTATAAATGCATGTAAACCAAACACAAGGTTGAATATGATCGGACCAAAATGTAAATGCACATAAGCACAGTTGGCCGACCGGCCTATTCCAAATGTACTATATACAGACTTGCCAGTTGGCGGGGGTTCAGATCCCTCCATACGCAGATCTTAAAACATGTAGACCCGAGGGACTATAGCCCAAATTGACCGTTTTTTACTGTTTTTTTGTCCAATTCGGTTCAGCCTTGATTAAGGCTGACCGCCAAAAACAGCAATTTGTCTGAAGAACATTACCGGTTTTTGTGACTAACTTGCGCCGAAATAGTTGATAATCGGTGCAGTTTATTGAAATTATATGATGTTAGCCTTGACCGAAACTTTGATGAATTATTGAGTTTCCGAGAGTTTTGTCGATAAATACTCTTAACAATTGAAGCCATCGACTTCATAGTTTTTACCAACTTAGCGAGATTGAGCGCGCATTTTCGTCAAGTCTGAAAATTGTCTTTTTTTCGCTACTTTTCTACGCTCGTATAATTTTCTCAAATAATATTTTAATTAGATGCAAGATAAGTGAACTGTAAGATTTCGAAATTTCATTCTTTTTAATCTATCGTCTTTTTTTCTGGAAAAACTTTACTTAGATTAAACAATCAGGTCCATATGAGATAGTACTTAGAAGAAAATTCTCAGCGGTGCTTCAACAGGTTGAATTACTTTATGCGCTTGCTCAAGTAGGTGCTCCTTCATTGATAAGTTTTCTGTATTGTTGGATTATTGCACTACTTGAAACAAATTTAGTATTTATATTTAGAATTTTTTCTTATACTTTTTGAATTTGATTTTACTATAAAGAAAACTAGTTTTTGATGTTTCATTCAGCACTTAATCGGCCAAAAACGTTTACTTAAAATGTGCAAAAGATTAGAGAAAACTTTTAAATTAAAAAAAGGTTCACGTTTATTTTGTTATTTATTATGAAGACTTATTTTGTCTATCTGCCTATTTTGCTAGTTATAGTACTCACTAAAAACGCTATTAATTTGAAAAAATGTATAAAAATATATTCTTTTTTTAATTTTTTTTATGGAGATGGTCGGGCTATTCTGTGCTACTTGCAGGGGCGGAACTAGGAGTTTCTCAAGGAGAGAGCGGATTTTCAAAAATTTTTCGAAAATTTGTCGAGTATTTTTTAGATCGACCAAAATGATTTTCTGTCGCAAAACACTCAAAAGACCTTCTTTCGGCCGAAATTTCTTCGCCCAGCAAAATTTTGTATAAAGCAGGCCAAAAATGCGTTTTTTTTTTGCGCCCGCCCCCTCAAATTTAATATACATTGGCGCCCAAGGCGACTTTAAAAAAGTTTCAGGGTCCGTCGACAAACATGGAGATCTCATGATAGTAAAAAGGGCGGACCCTCTGGGTCGGCAGGGGGTCAAATCTATGAAATAGCCCCCCCCCCCCTTAAATCCGCAACATGCTATCCTTGTTTTCAAATAACTATTATTTCTAATCCAGAAACGTGCTTTTTTTATTCCGTCTCTAAATTTCATAAATTTCTTAATACTGTGCAATTTTGAGCAATTTTTAAAACGTTCCTATTTACGATTTTTTCTGATAATTGTTTGTTAAATGTTTTGAAGCGTCGTTCATGAATATTAGTCGTCATAAGTTTCAACGCTGAATTGAATTTTTTCGTTTTCATTCGTACTTCCACATTACGCCGGATTTCTTTTTTTATATCGTATCCTTTTTTAATTTTAAAAAGATAAATTTGAAGAAAAAAAATCGGTCTCTGAATATATGAGGTCTGTTTCGACCGACTGGAAAAATTAGATATACTTTGAACTCCAATGGATTTGAGGGGGCTTTGTGTGGATGTTCCCTCGTAAAGAGTTTGATCACTCGACAACCAAAGCTTTTTCCTTTGGTGATGTCTTAAAACACTGGCAGACAAAACCTGAAACATTTTTTATCAATGCTGTCTTAATGTTCTGAGATAAAAAAAACGGAAAAAACGTTTGGTCAATCCAAGTTTTACAAAATTTCTAGAGGCGCCCCATCGTGTGATCAATCATATTTTAATTGCTAAAACGTTTTGTCATTACGTTTGATCCAAAAAAGAGTCAGCCTCTCGACAGTCGGGACCATCCGATGACATGAACAGCTCCCCCACAGCAAATCTGGGCAGTCCCAATATGACCAGAGCCAATAGACTCAGCAGTATTGGGACCCAGGCAGACTTGGTTGTGCAGTTAATGCTGTACCAGACTCCTGTATCATCAAAGTGCTTTTTGTTTCCCTCGCATTTAAAGTTTAAAATTTGAGAAGTATGGAGTTTTAATTTAGCCAATCTGGCAATATTAAAATCTCTCTGACTCTGAAAAATTTTTTTCATTTTGAACTGAAGAGAATTAATATCATCACAGACGTAGCTCGCTTACAAACATTTTTCTAAGAAGATATGTTGAAAGTGGTGGTTTGGCAGTAGAATTAAATATGTGGTACTCAGAGATCTAACTTTTGAGTTAATTGCAGTTAATTGCGGGAAAAAATAGTAAAATGCAGCTAGTTATTCAAAATGGATGAGTGTTTGAAAAAGAGGGAAACAAGACCTTTCTCGATGGCGAGAACGCGATCAATAGCAACCAACACCATCATCCAGTCAGGCATGATCATGACAATGAAGATCAGGTAAAGAGATAGTTTGCATGATATCTGAGAGATGTACGCCACACATGACTGCAAATCTACATGAAACACCAATGAGAACTTATATAAGATGATATAGTACACAATCAGAGGTTCGGCGAGAGAGGGGCGGTAAGGGACCCACCCGTTGTTTTGTATTTAATTGTAAATTCAAGTAATTAAAAATCTTCGGGGAAGGGCAGATTTAAAAAAAAATGTCAACGGACCACTTTTTTGAACTTGAGCTAATTGATTTCTGATATTCTGAGCTCTCTTGAATCACTATAAACAAAAGCGGATTTAGGGGGGGAATTGGACGCCTCTTTCCCAGGGATTTGTTGAAAAGGTAAAACGATAGTAGTCTAATTGTTAATTCCGATACAAGAGATAGTCAACTTAATCTTACAAAGTTAGCATAGAGAGTGGTTGAGAACAGTATCCAAGGGTGACAGACTGTTCCAAGGACAAACACCTGCTAATCAATTAGTCTAGCACCGAGAGTGAACATTAGATTGACAGCTTCCGAAATGAACTAAATTACTCTATAAAACACTTCCCCTTCGATAATGAAACCCTAGTTGAATAGAAATGATTTTAAATGACTGAAATGATTGATCATGGATGGTTGAAAAGAGTTACTAGCTTCATGTTTGGATACAATTTAGACTTTAATAATGACAAATTTTTAAAAACTAAAAGATCACTGAGCAGTGATACCAATTGAGTTTTAAGTCACTAATGACCCACCCTCTCCCTGGGTTAGAACAGTTTGAACGAAAGTTTTACTAGATGTTGTAGGTCACTTGTTTCCTTCCTTGCTTTGATTGATGAAGTCAATCATTACGCCCCCCATCTTGGTGACCGCAGTTCTCTTGCGCCCGCTTCTTCTAGACGTCGTGGATGAGGTCTCGCCCTGGCTATCACCCTGGCTGCTGTATGAAACCAGCCTGGCTTTCTTTGATGAGGCTCCCTTCTTCTTACTGGTGGTGGTAGATTTCGACTGGTCCCCTGGATTGGACGTTCCTTGGTCCCTTGGATGATGATGATCCAACTCACCGCCTTGTGCCGGAATGGTGTCCTGGTCACTTCCAACATCGACGTCTGTTATTGCTGTTGCTGATCGTTCTATAGGTGCATCAGGGTTGGTAGTTAATGACTGCTTAGCCCGTTTTACCGAGATAATCGGCAAGTCTTCGCTGTCTTCCGATTCAGAGCCACTATTCTCAAATCGGCGCCCGATTCTTTCCCGTTGTTTTTCCGCAATTCGTTTTTTCAATCGTTCTTTAACTTCGCGCGGAGTCGGCGGTGGTAACCCTGGGTGAGTTGCTCGCTTTTTCACTTCACTCGATGGTACCGGTAATACGGATCTAGCTGCAACTTTCGATTTCTTTGGTTTGGGCTTTGCGGCCACTCCCGATTTCCTAAGCACAACCCCTCTAAAGTTTGTGTATGTGTACTCTCGGATCTTAGTTTAGAGTGAATTTGCTTATACCTTTTTAGGTTTCTGTTCCCAGTTCGCTGGAACAACAATCCAGATGGTCCCGGTTGTCCATTGGGGTTTGCACTTTTAAGTATCGACAGTTCGTCGTGTTGATTGGCGGATTGGTCCTCTGTAAGTCGTCCTGCATGGGTCCTGTTTTTGATATCATATGCGAGGTCTGATCTTACACTCCAGTTTGTATCGACTGGACGGGGCATGTCTTGCGCATTTAGATCGGCGGCATCTAAACAAGCATTTTTCGTTGTTATAACCCGTGACCAATCCAGATTTTGAAGAGATGGCTTTTTAGTAAGGTTGCGTAAAACTGTGTTCGCTTCTCTACTATGGTGAGTTTTAAAAGGCGAGATTTTTAGTGTTGAATTTTTCGAGAATCTGAGAGCACCAAGGGCCCGTTCAACCATTTTCTCCAAGTGTTCGGGATCTTTTTCTTGAGCGAAGGTAAGGATAGAATTCCTAAGGCTGCCAATGGTACGCTCGACGCACCCAGTTGCTCGATGGTCGTTTACTGGTGATTTAATGATTTCAATGCCCTCCCCATTACAAAAAGCTTTAATCTCGTTTGACATGAAACTAGTTCCCTGATCAACGTGAATTTTCCGTGGCACCCCATGGTTTGTTATATAGCTCTTCAAGAATATCAATATCTTATCTGACCGATTATTTCCACATACCATTGCCGATCGTCAACGAGAAAACCGGTCGACCGCCACTAATACATATTTTCGGGATTCATTTAAGTAATTGATGGGGCCCCAAAAAAATCTAATTGGACTGATTCATTTGGTTTTTTCGGTTCCGGTACAGTTCCAAGTTGGTTTTTCTTTAGTATCGTTTTTAAATTCTTACCAGCTGCGGTACATTCAGGACACCATTCGGCAATGGAAGCTATTGAGCGGTAAATATAAGGGTACCAGTCATCTTTTGCTGCATCGAACATATTTGATTTTCCGTGGTGATACGCATGGATTTGGTTATTAATTGCTGATTGAAGGTTAATTGGAATTACTAATTTTTCATCCATCCAGACTACATTTTCCTTCACCGAAAAGTCATTAACGAATTGAGCATAATAGAGGTTCATTTCAGTGATTTTTTCATGGATTTCAGGATCTTGTGTAACAATGAGATCGCGAATAGCGCTCAGCTGGGGGTCAGATACATAATTCGATTCTATGAACTTTAGATTAAACAGATCAGGTAATGAAGTAACTTTGTTAACGATTTTGCAATTCCGAGGATAATTGACATTCATGATAGATTCGGGTCCACGGGTGGTACTGTTTCTCCTTTGAATGCCGAGGGTAACGAGAGAGTTGTGTTAGTGCGAATTGATCTTGTTTCTTTGGTAACGGCCTCTAGTGATACATTTGGGGGCAATTCTTCAATATCATTGCTACTACTATTCAAACTTGGATGCTGTTTAAGGTATTTCTGCCATTTACGCATGCTTCAATCCATTTTGATATTTGATGTTGAAATTTGAGAATTGGATTTTAATTATTTTGAACAACTTTAATCTGATTTAATAATAGCCCCATATAATCCAAGGGCGTATTTTGCGTAGCCGTCGGCGCTCAAAACACGTGTTTGAATCTGATTGGTTGATTTCCGCTTACATTTTTTCCTCCCTCTACCGAGTCATTTCGTGACAAAATTTCCTTTTGTGTCCCTTGGATGTATTAAAGCCAAGAGCAGTGCGAATTAGGTTGATCTTTGCCACTGTAAACATATTATCATACGTACTAATTGGCATTGCTTCTCTACTTGGATGACGTGATAAGTAGTCCGCCAATCCAATTTTAGCCCCTGGTTTATGTTCAATTCGAAAATCAAAGCGAATTAGTCGATCTAACCAGCGCGTTAAACGGCTAAAAATCGCTTTATTTTTCTTATTATTACCAATAAAAGGGATATTAGGGCTTTATGATCATTAACGATCAAAAATTTTGGCCCAGGATGTAATTTCTAAAGTATTCAGCCCCCACACAACTGCCAGCATCTCCAATTCGTTTGTTGAATATTTCTTTTCCGCTTCGTTAAGATATCGCGAGGCAAACGAAATTGGGCGCCACCCTTCTGGTCCTAACTGTTCCAACACCGCGCCGAGCCCGTTATGACTTGCATCGCACACTATACGAATGTCCCTGGGGATATCAAAATGACGTATTTCAACAATGTTCGAAACTTGTTTCTTAAGATTTTCGAACGCGTTCTGGCATTCAGGTGTCCAAATGTGTTCATTACTTTTGCTTAGTAGAGGTCGCAGTGGCGCAGATGATTGGGCCAATGCCGGTAGATACTTGTGCAGACTGTGGATTGACCCCATGAACGATTTTATTTGCAACAAATCCGCGGCGGTGTTAGCGCCTCTATTGGTTCTGTTTTCCTAACCAATGGAGTGATTCTGGTCGGGGTCATTTTATGGCCTAGCCATTCGCATTCTCGTTGGGCGAATTTACATTTTGTTATTTTTAGGGACAAATTTTCACGATCCAGTTTCTTTAAAATTTTCTCTACCGTCGCTATATGGTCTATCGCAGTTCCCTTGGTTACAACCAAAATATCGTTGATGAACGAGTGCGCCTGCGGGTATTCGGCGAGTATGCAATCCATTGCGCGTTGGAATTCCGCGGGCATTGTCGTTAGACCATAGAATCCGGTCTTAAACCGGTACGTACCCGTCGAGTGGCCTCCAATGAGAGAAAAATTGCACTGTACGCTCGTTTCAGCGTTTAATGGCAGTTGGCCATATGCGTATGTTAAATCCATTGTTGTGAAATATATGTCTCCCTGTTTTTTTCTCACTAATCGTTTGCCCAACTGTGTCCATTAGTTCCTCGATATTCGGCATTTGATACTTATTCTTATGCACCCTCGACTCGAGTGCCAATTTCACGGACCCATCCTTTTTTACTGTAATTACTATTGGGGACACAAAATATTTGTCCGAGCATTCTGTTAGTTTTTCGATATGACCCTGTTGCAATAGTTTATCAATTTCAGCATCCACTTTTTCTTGCAACAAAATCGGAACTCGACGCCCCTTCTGTTGTACTGGGTTGAGGTTTTCAAAAAATTCTGCTTGTACTTTGTAGTTTCTTATTTTTCCTACCCTGCTAAAAAGGTTTGAAAACTGCTGCTTACTGAAATAGGTTTCCCATGAATCCAACTCCCCCTCCGGTTCCAGTGCGTCCTTGTTGCCTTCTTCAATAGACATTATCTGTTCCCCTGGTGATTGTTGCACCAACTGGAGTCCTAATTGGGGCATCAGATCTCTTCCAATTATTGATGGTCGGTTCCCTCCGATTACTTTTCGCGTGTATCTTCCAGCCGTTTGATTGTATTGTTACCGCCATTATTCCAATCATCTGTAGTGGATTGTTTCCATAATCCCGAAAAGCTTTGTCCTCCTCCGTAAGATTATCCAATTTTACTCCTGACGTTCCCAAAGTCTTCCGCAATTCCCCATTGGTGAAGATCGAAATTGAAGACCCGTTATCGATCCACACTCGAGTGGGTTTCCCATTGACTTTAATCGGCAATTGTGCCCCAGCAACTTTCAATTCTGTGACTCTTTTATTTTTTATCGCCATGACCATATAGTCCCCGTCTGAGCTGCTCGAGTCCCACGAGTGCACCACTGGATTCTTTAACCCATCCAATGGAACTTGCATGTTGTGACGCTTCTTCATCCGCCGAGTTTTCCAGATGACCATCGTCAACGTTCTCCCGTATCATTCCTACGGCTCCCTGTCCCCGCTGGTTTCCACGCTTCCCCCTACAGGTACGTTCGAAATGGCCATTTTTGTGGCAAAAATTGCATGTAACGCCTTTTGCGGGACATCTGTCCAAATGTTCCCTGGTGAATTTTGTTGATCGCAGTTATAGCATTTTTTGTTATTGGGAAAGTTTCAACCTCGATTCGATCCTCGCCCTTGGTAAGAGCCCCGGCCCCTTGCACGATAACCTCCACGGATTATTCCGACTGGCTCCGATTTTATCTGGATCCCTCCGCCTCCTGATGTCGATCCTTGGGCCCACAATGATCCCGTGGCTACATATGATGATGCATACATGTTTCCCCTCTCGTACGAGAGAGCTATCCGGTACACTTCCTCAGGTGTTTTCGTCGACCTGCATAGTTCCTTTTGTGCATCACGGTTATTCATGTTGACAATGAATACGTCTCTCAGTATCCGGTCCTCTAGTGTTCCAAAGTTGCAACGCGCCGCCAATCCGCTTAGTACGGAATGGAATTGCTCCAAACTTTCATTGATAAACTGCTTACGAGAGAGAAGTTGGTATGTCTCATATGTCTCATTTCTTTCTTTCTTAAACTCCGTTTCCAGTGCGTCTATCATTCGTGGGTAACGAATCGTCGAGAGATCCAGATGCGGTCGTCTTTTGTGAAGTTCGTCCTGCCCTTTTTCCCCCAGACACAAATACAGTTTCGAAATCAGCACTTGTTCCGATTGCAGTCGATTTTTCCAATCTACTTCCTCGGGCAAGTCAGTAACTTGGGCGGCTGTGAGAGTCGCGGCGTAGTTAAAGTTCTTCGGGTTTAGTGAGTGCTTGGCGACCATTCCCCATTGGAATCTGTTATTCCAAAATTCCCACATCATTGGCGGTTCCGTGCATTTCGCTGGCCAAAATCCCGTGATGGCCAGTGGATTCTTTCCCCCACCTGAGACTGCTGACTGCGCCATGTTGAAAAGGTAAAACGATAGTCGTCTAATTGTTAATTCCTATACAAGAGATAGTCAACCTAATCTTACAAAGTTAGCATAGAGAGTGGTTGAGAACAGTATCCAAGGGTGACAGACTGTTCCAAGGACAAACACCTGCTAATCAATTAGTCTAGCCCCGAGAGTGAACATTTGATTGACAGCTTCCGAAATGAACTAAATTACTCTATACAACAGATTCGACCCCCTTCTGACCCAAAGGGCCCTCCTTTGTACTATTTTGAGATATCCATTTTTGGCTGACTGACCTGAAATTTTTCTAAAAGCGCCTTAGGCGCCAATCTTTACTAATTTTGAGGGGAGATCGCGCGCCGAAAAACGCGATTTTTGGTCGAATTTTTCCAAAAGTGCCTAAAAACGCCTTTTTTGTCCTTTTTTTCAAAACTTTTCAAAAATTCACCTGGTCTTTATAGTGGTTTGGGAGAGCTCAAAAAATCAATTCGGTCGATCTAAAAAAAGGTCGACAAAGTTTTCAAAATTTGTTTGAAAATCCGCCCCCCCCCCCTCTCGAGAAAATCCCAGATCCGCGCCTGACTATGAACACTCTATTTCTGCCAAATTTCTACGCTACAGGAAAATTTGTGGAAATTAAAAGGCGTTTTTGGGCAACTTTTGGAAAATGGTGATCAAAAAACCGCGTTTTTTCAGCGCGCGCTCCCCCCTCAAAATTATTATTTGCATCACCGAATATATCATTGCACTGATAGTTTTGGTTAGTGTGTTCTGCGTCACCTTCAAGTTTTATCCTTTGACTCTTACTACAGGTTTTATTACTTATTTCGTAAAATGAAGTATTTTACATCACATAAAAGATTTTAATTTAGTTAAGTTTGACTTAAAACGCCTTGAAAACAAAGTTTTCCTTTTTTGAACCGGCTATATTCGAAAAACAACTTCTTATGCAATATTGCACATGCCAAAACTTTAGCCATTATTTTCAAAGAGTTACTGATAAAAAAGCAAAAACGAGAAAAAATAGTTGGTCTTCTTCGTCCCGTGATAAGTATACAGTGCATACAGAGCTGAATTAAATGAGTCAGACAAAATGAATTAAACCTATAATTTAAATTTCTTACTGCGCTTCCCCTACTAACATGTTTTTATATAGTGTGGAAGATTTGACCCATGTAAACATCCCCCTCCAACGACCAAGAGAACTTTTTCCACCCTGAACAAAAAGCGAACCAGCAATAAATTTCGCGCTATTAACGCGTAAGCGACGATATAAGCGGTCAAACTTTTTACTCAAATTATTATTGTTCCGACTTTCGAAAAAAGTGAGGAATATACATGCCTACGATCTTACAAAACTTGACAGCGTATTGGTATCGATCCGGAATTCTTTTATTGTTGAGAGAGTATGCTTGCACTAGACTAAAATGCCGATGGATGAGCTGTTTGATAGATTTTGTCATATTTTATTCGTTAAGTTATGGTGGTTAAGAGATTGCCAAATTGGACAATTTGGGACAATTATTACGCAATATATTACGCAATATACGGTTGTTGTGTGTTATACTAACTTGGGGCGTAGATTGTTGAGGTTGATGGATTGGAGAGAAAGTATATCATTTCGTTAGAAAGATGTTTTACTTCCTCGGTGACTAAGATTTATTTTAAGGAAAACTTACTAAATCTTACTTAGGGCTTTAATTTTGTGATCAAGGGTTAAGGGTCGGAGAATAGTCAATCAATCTACAAATTTCAGGTATAATTAGAACACAGGTAGGTTGTTAGATACTATTATAGATCTTACTAATTGTTTTGCGAGGTGTTTTAGCCTGGGTCAGCTAAGAGGAGGGGCTCAAGCGAAGGATGAGTAACCGAAACTCTTCACTGTTTATTTTAATTGAAACGGTTAGCTTTTCAAAATCTCTGTTAGTTCAGGGTCGTTGATGAGGGTTGGAGAGTGAACCGGGTTGAGGTCGTTAGACACTTTTATCTAGAGGTTGGGGGAACAAAGTTTTTCTGATTGATCGAAGGGATGCCTTGATGTTTAAATAATTTTAAATTTAATGCAATAAAATTTTTGATTTATTTTAAAGATCCACGGATAGCTTTGATGGTCTAGTTTAAGGAAAATTTAGGTTAATACAAAGCAAGGATAGGCCTGGATAATATTTTGCTGTAAAGTTTTAAAAGTTAGGAAGAAATATCTTAAGGTTAAAAAATTAAGTGAAATTAGTTATTGAATAATTATGGTTTTTTAATTTAAATGAGGAAACGAGGATGAAGAGGATGAGAAAAAGATGAATGGTGAAAGGCTTAGGTTCCTTGAGAAGCAGGGAACTTTGACAATTTTAATAAATTAACTTTTTTTACTAACAAATTTTTTGTATTTTATAAAACTAAATTTTAATTTCACAAAGTTTTTGGAAATTACTGCAGGTTTTGATAAAAAAAAAGACTTGTGTTTGTTTTGTCAGTCGTTATTTAGTTATTTTGTGATGTAATACAACATCAGGAAACATATTGCTTGAATAAAAAAATCTTATTGGCACAAGTAAATTTATTTATATGTCAGAGAATGAAACTCTACTGCATAGAGAATTCTGACGACGTATATTCTTTGTGGTTTGCGTCTTTTCACGGTGTAGAAGCTTAGTCTGCTGTTTAGTTTTGACCCTGTATTTGCCGTCTCGTTTCAAGCATGGAAGACATATTGAGACGTATCGACATACTTAGTAAGTTGTCTATGCTAACTAACGTTTTGCAATGTTGCGATTTATTTTTATCCTATTTCTAATTCTTTTTGCCGAACCTAAGTTTTCAGTAAGTTTTTTTCGAGACTTTTGGTCGCATCAGATGAGTAGTTGCCTGGAGTAGCTTACTCATAGAGTAATTTCAGATAAGGTACACCATCTGTTCGTCTTGCTCTTATCCTATTTTCAGCCGGATAGATTCGTGCAACTTCTTAGTCTAACACCAATTTTCATCTTACTCTTATATCTCTTAGTCTCAATAGATCTAGCGTATACTGGTATTTGCGGGTTGGATAATGGCACTTGTTCCAAAGGAAAACAAAGTTATTCTTAGTTATTCTTCTAAGTTATACTCAAATTGTTCTCGTGCTGAAACTACAAGTAGTTTCAGCTATACAAATAATTGTCAGTCTTAGTTATGGATCATGATTGGTTAGTCAGCAATATTTTTTCGAGATAGTTTTATCGAGAATAAAAATTGGTTATAGATACTAGTTTAAGCTGGTTCCAATATTCATCTTACGCAAAACTACCTCCTTTTTTGAAAGTGCTCCTGCGCATGCCATTTTAAGTGATGATAGTTCAATTTAACGGTTATAAGGTTTTCATGCATGTGCATCATAAAACTATTCACCCATATATTGATCAATGGAGAAAATGGACGATTCACAGCGGACCCTCACCGTAAAGTAAAACTTAAAAAATTACCTATAGATCCACAAAGCGCAAGGTAAGTAGCAGTTGCTCTTCGAACCATTTCAGACACCGCTTGAACCACCATCAAAGTCTTGGCTGAGAAATTACCTTCCAGACCTAAGCCAATGGGGATGATGGGAATTTGGCTCAAAAGGGATACCGCGGAGACTCCTGCGGCTACTGCGACCACCCTAGCATCGACTCCATTGTCAGCTTCAACAGAGGAAAAATTTGCTGCTGCGACGTTGTAGATTGATTCCATCTCTCTTCGCAACTTTCTGCAGCCTTAAAAACTGACTCAGCTTTTATTAATTAAAATCTCTAATAATTAGGCTAGGCAGAACCAAAACTTTTCCTGAACAATTGTATATTTTTCAAAAAATGCTTATTTAAAATTTTCAAATCGTATTGAAACACTTAAAGAATTTCCTTGAAATTTAAAAAATGGTTAGAAAAAATAGACATCTTAAACGGCAACATCTAAGGTTCTAGAAGTGGGGTATATTTTTCTAACTTGAACAAAAAAGAGTATGTTAACAATCAACCCGATCGAGGTGCTCATTTTATGGTTGGACCGCGTCGACCAAAAATTGTACGCTTCGACCGTGCTTTAGGTACGTTTCGGCCGTGCTTGAGGTATGATTCGACCGTGATCCAGGTATATACCGTATTAATGACCTTTGTCTAATTTAATTAAGGATAAGTCAGAAAAAACTGGATCTACTAAAAAAATCAGCACCAATAGAAATCAATACAGTAAATTAGCACTAGATTTTTCTGTTGAGAAATAGAATTTTGCTGAATTCTAATTGAACGAAAAATCGACTAGCTTAATATAATAAGGAACCTAACGTAAAAATATTATCACATATATTATCAATTTTAAGAAGATAGTTTAGGCAATTTTAGTTGTTAGTCCAGTTTCGAGCAACTTAAGCAAGCGAGCAGGCGTATAATAGCGAAATGAGCTTTTTCAGCTGTGGAAATTTGGTTTTACGCCAGAAAAATTTAGTTTTTGATGATTTTGTGGCGCTGTTTGGTAATTTTTGTTAATAGTTGATTCTCAGGCTTCCCGGGGATCCTATTATCACAAGATGATCATTAATGACAAACGTTTGGGTTAAAGAAACGGTTCTCATTTTCTAATTTGTTTAATATTGTGACCGGAATTTGTGCGCCCCTCGCACATCAACCGGCTGCTTTTTTGCAACTTAGAGTCAATTTATCAGCAGTAAATTGGATGCATTTGAGAATTATGAAAACTATCCTTGCATTATTTAAAAAAGTGTCAATGCAAAAATTTTATCTATACAGTGTTGATTTAAGTTCACCTGACAACGAACAACATTTGATCTTTCATTGCGTTTTTTTTCCAAAATGGGTTAAGATTGGACAAAAATTCCAGAGAGCAAAAACAGATTTTCACCAGTAACGAAATTATGCAATCTTTTTTCCCCAAAATCTCAACCAAAACATGAACCCGAAAAAAAATAATTTATTTTTGCCTTCCCGCACTCAGTAAAAAGAGAAAATAATCGATTATATTACAACTATGATGTTAAAATGATTTAAAACCGATTTGAATGATAAAATTTTTTGTGACATAATAAATCAGAATTGATTATAACTTTTCCTAAAATCTCCTATAATTTCTTATAATCTATTATAATCGCTTAAAGTCTCCTATTATCTCTTAGAATATCTTATAATCAATTAAAATCACATTACGAGGCCAAACTGTGCATTTTGTGCATTGTAAGCGGATTCCGCAACAAGGACGCTCCCTTTGTTCTTTTTTTGTTTTTTACTTTCCTTTGATCGTACCGACAAATTTTTCACATGTTCAAAGACTTGTCTCTGGAATCCAGGAACATACAGACAAAAAATTGTGCTCCTTTCCAGTGCACATCTTGGCCACGCAAGGCTATTATAATAGATTAGTATCTTTTTTTGTCAAAAATCTCTACAAGTGAGATGTCTTGTCACTCTTTCGTTCATCTGAACACAAAGTTTTACCACGAAACAAAAGTTTTATTGAGATCCCTTGATGTTAATTGGAAGAATCCCGCGGTAGTTGAAATATAACTCTTCCATAAAACTCATGAAACTAAAGCAGTGAGCTGATATTTTGGTGGTCAAAAAAACACAAGATGTGCGCCATGAAACAACTATAATCAAGAATAAATGAAATGAAAAAACGTTATAAATTTGAGTTGATTTGAAATTTGCTAAAACAATTTTCCCATTTTCCTAATAAACTTACGTCTGCGAAAAGCATAGAAAATAAACAATTCACATGGAAGGTTGAAGACAAATTATGCAAACAAAAAGGATTATAAACCATTATATTCGATTATAATGGATTTTTTCTGCAAAACAATAAAGATAAAAATTCGGATTAAAATAATCGATTATAATATAGTATAATTGATTATATTTGATGTCATAAAGAGAGATTAGAATCGATTATCAATTGATTAGAATCAATTTGGTCTCCATTTTTCTAATGCATCGCAGCAAAGTTTTAGGAAAGTAAAAGTTCAAGTTCCAAAAATCGGTAACAAGAGAAATTACGTTTCATTGATAGCCAAAAAAGTTCATTTTAAAAATATAAAAATTAAAATCTTGGGCATGACACAAAATTCAAACTTTTCAGCAAATTTTTTGAAATTTTAACTAGAACCTTGTTGGGACGTGTATGAGGCTTTTGATAAATTTTTCACATCAAATAACTTGTTATTTTCAGCGTAACTCTTGATGAGTTAAAAAAAACCATGAGGACCCATTTTTGGGGTAAGCTTTTGGTTGAGAAATTTGAGGTAAAAATTGTAGCATATTGATTCTTGTGAAAAACTAAGCAACTTTTGTTGTCCTCCTTTGCTGTCCAACCTTAACCGTTAGCGTTTGAATGCATTGCGTCTTTCAAAGTAGTTTTGTAATTGATTTCAGTGGCCAAAATCTGCCGTCGGAACATACGAGTTTTTTACCCGATAAAAGTTGAACAACAAATTTTTAAATTTCTCCTTCCAAAAGTTTCGAAATGAAAGCCTCAAAAATCAGCAATAGTTCTTGTAGTCCAATGAAAGTTTCTAGTCTCTAAATGATTGATTGATAGCTTTGTTGCTTTGTTTGCGTTTGCTTGTATTTCAACAATGTGATCAAATAATTAAAGTATTTTTCAAAACTCAAGCAAGGAAAATTCAAAATATCTTAATTTTTTCTTCTACCGCAATAATAGCTTACGTATCATTTCCTTTAATGGAGATCTTGCAAAACAGCCAAAAATGTGGCTTATGATCTTTTTGAGAAACATTTGAGCACAAAATGTTAACTTATATGTCATACCTGATATGAAAACTGAGCAAAACTTTCTTTATGTTTTCAGTTTTGAGCTGAAAGTTTTGCTGGAAATTCAAACTGCACTTTCTGCAATCGTTTTGGGAAATAGTTCTTCAATTTTATTTTCGAAATTAGGAACAGAGCTATTGAAATCATTACCAGAATAAGCCTTATTTACCAATCAACAGTTATGACGTGTTCCTTCAATATGCCAAGATATTTCAAAAGGCTCGGTAAAAATTTAATTGCTCATTACGGTAGCGTTTTTATAATTTAGTATTCTTCGCTTAATGGGCACGCGTCTAATTAGATCTCTTTCTGATTTTTTTGAATGCACAAAAGGTTTATTTGGGACACTTATGTTCATTACACGAATAACCTGATTTGATTCAGCAATTTCACTTGAACTGGAGAAGCTGTTGTTTTGCATAACAAGCTGCAAATGATGAGACTGCAGTTTTAATACATTCTGCAATTGAGTGTATGGGGGCAGCACAACAGTGCCGAAGTACAACAGTGCCGAAAAAAAATTAGTTCAACAGTGCCAAAAAGTAAAACTTTTTTCAACAGTGCCGAAAAATTGAACAAACTTGAAGATATTAAAAGCCATCAAAAATTAAACGGCGATCGAGTACAATTTTATGTGACACTTTGTTCTTTTGAGCACGAAAATTTGCAATTTAGACATTTTGGCGCCAAAATAATTGTTTTATTTGCATTTGCACCCATTTTAACGCCAAAATTGGAGTGATTTTCTTGATTAATTACACACTGTGATTAGTTTTTTTTTCTCAAAATTTCCCGATTTTTGGCACTGTTGTACTTCGGCACTGTCGAACGCCCCAATTGTATCATATCAGAGAGCAGCAACCGTCTAATCAAAATTATAGTATTCAAAAGCGCTATCTTTATTGTTCCGACTTTCGTAACGAAAGTAACGGAGTATTTTTTCTCGGAGTGGTTTTTTTTCATCAGAGAATTTTAAAACTTTTTAACAAGCCATTTTGACAGAATTGGTTATATCATTCAAAGTGTTTGGAGTCTTGAGCTTAAATTTAAAAAGATATTTCACCGTTGTCATTTTCGCCAATTTGGGACAATTAACGCGCGATATATTTGGCGCTATTAACGCGTAAGCGAAGATTTAATCCGTATTATAAATCGTTCCAAATTGGTTGAACGAAGCTTATTTGCCATAATTGATGTGTTACAAGGAACAAAAACTATTTTTTTGTACTTTATATGGCGTGTGGGGCGATGATTTTCATAAAAATTCTCAAATTAAATTGAAAATTTGTTTCTTTTTTTTTACATTTAGTTACATTTATGTTATTAGTACTGCTCCATAGACCTGAAAAGACTGTCGAAGCAATCAGTGCTTCGCCCCGATATTAAAAGTCTTCTTTTGCTTTCTACGCATTTGACGAGGATGCAGTTGAAATGCCCCATTATTCAACTGAAAATTACTCAAAAGCACGAAGTCGGTTTGTGATCTAGTAGAAAAATTTCTAGTTGATGCTTCTTGTTTTGCTTCTACGCAGGAAACTATGCTGAATTTTGATGCGGAAACTGAATAACAAACAGCTCATATTATTGCAAAGCACCAAAAACTCCGACTGACTTTTGAATGTTCTTGAAATTTTTTTTGGATATTGACAAACTATGCATTTTAAACCGTATTTTAAGTCGTACTTGAATTTTAAAATCAAAACTGTTTATTGAGCTTAGAACCATTTAGTAGTTCGGGGTACCTCGTAACGCTTGAAAAATGGCGTTACGCTTCAGCATCACAGTAAAAACCGAGCAGTTTGAAATATTTGGTTCAGAACGATCAGACAGTCAAGTAAAGACAATGTTAAGCGCGACCCCAACCTTTCCACTGGTGGGGACACTGTAGGTCCTGCAATCGTAAACCAAATGAGTAAAGACGCTTTTTAAAAATGGTCTGAATAAAAAAACGACACCAAAATTAAATATTCCTCACTTTCTTCGAAAGTAGGAACAAGAATAAATTGGTCTAGAACTTAATTTGGGTTTCTGCGATTCGCAGAGGACGCTTGAAGAAAATCTGTTCAGCCTATCTAAGCATAGTTCGTTTCTGTTTAATTCCACATTCGAGACTGAGTTATTATTTTGACTGAAGCCCTTCCTTCGCGACTCCCGGCTTTTTGTCTCGCGTGCAAAAACATTACTTGGTGCTACTGATGCAGTCAAAGTTGGTGCGTTTTATGATAGACATGGAGCTATAGGTCAAGCAGCAGGTCGTCTGTAATTACTTACTTGCTATGGCAGGGAATCAACAGCTCGACCTGACAATCTTAAAAAGGAAGCCTCATCTTTAAGCTAAATCCCTCTCAATCAAAGGTATCCAGTTGCTGTGCACGTAGCAGAGAAGGTTCCAAACAATTTAGTTGAAGAAAAACTTCAAAAAATAATATTATTTTGAAATTGAAAAAAATGCAGTTTTTTTGACTTTTTCATTCAAGTTCAAATGCAATTGAAGTGGGTGAAAACAGTAAGAGAGAGCGATATTTTTTATAATAAAGAAACTCTAAAAGAATTTCAGCTGGGAGATCAGCATCTCAGTCACTTTCATCTTATTAAGACCAGAAGCTGAAAATTTGCATAACCAATTTATATTGACGAATTGAAGTATTAAACGCTTTTTAAAAATATCATGAAGAATTGCATGCTTTAATACCAAGTTTTAGTATTCAATTTGAACAAATATTTTTTAATGATTATGCAGTTGTTCCTTCTAACAAAAAACTAACTCATTGCCATTTATTCTGTTTTAAAGCGTTATATGGACCAGCAAATTCACTTCCAATCAATTTGGAATAATTTCTGAGCTTAAATTTTCTTACGTGCACGGTACGCGTTAGTAAAATTGCTAAATTATGCGTATTCATAAACCAAATTGAACAATGTGGCCATTTTGTTCAACTTGGTTAACGATTTTGCCATAATTTAGCAATTTTACTTAACGCGTACCGTACGCGTCTAAAGATTAAGCTCGTAAATTAGTCCAAATTGATTGGAGGCGAGTTTATTGGTCCAAACAACACTTTACAAGAAAAAAATGGCAATAAATTGTCTGTTCGAAGAAACGCATGCATCATCACAAATTGAATATTAAAACGCGGTATTAAAGCATGCAATTCTTAAGGGTTTGTTTTTTAAAGCAATTAATACTTTGGTCAATAGAAAATGTTTTGCAAAAAATCGCGATTTGGACTAAATAAGATGAAGGTGGCTGAGAAGTTGCTCTCCCAGCTGAAATTCTGTTAGAGTTTCAGCATTTTAATTTAACATTAATAAAAAATGTCGCTCTCTCTTACTGTTTTCATCCAATTCAATTACATATGAACTTTAAAATACCTTTTTTCAATTTAAAAACAATATTTTGTTTTTGTAATTTTCCTCCGACTGCATTGCTCGGAACCTTCTCAGCATTTTGTAAAGCAGCTTGTTAACTTTGACAGAGAGGAACCTTGCTTAGTAGTAATGCTTTCACTTTAAATTTGTCAGCTCGAAAGATTGATCCCCTGCCATGGCAAAGATAGTACGTACAGGGGCTTCGGTAAAAATAAAAACTAAGTCTGGATTGTGGAGTAAAAGAGAAACTGATTAAGCTTAAAAAGGCTGAACAGTTTTTCTTCATATGTCCTCTGCGAATAGCAGAAACCACAATTAAATTGTAAACCAACTTATTCTTGTTCCTACTTTCGAAGGAAGTGAGGACCATTTAAATTTGGTGTCGTTTTTCTATTCAAATCAATTTTAAGAAAAGTATTTCCTCATTTGGGTCCCAATTGCTGGACCTACAGGGCCCCCACCAGTGGAAAGGTTGGGGTTGCTGTTAACATTGTCTTTAGTTGACTGTCTGGTCATCCTGAACCAAATATTTCCAAACTGCTCGTTTTTTACTGTGATGCTGAAACGTAACGCCATTTTTTAAGTGATACGAGTTATCCCGAACTACTAAATCGTTCTAAGTTTAATAAACAACTTTGATTTTGAAATTCTTATACGACTTAAAATTTTTTGTTCATTTTTGATTTTATCAGTTTAAAATGCATAATTTGTGAATATCCAAAAAAAATTTCAAGAACATTTAAAAGTCAGTCGGAGTATTTGGTTTCTTTGCAATGAAACGAACCGTCTTGTTATTCATTTTCCGCATCATAATTCAGCATAAAAAGCAAAAATTGAGAAGCATCGACAAGAAATTTTTCTACTAGATTACACACGATTTCGTATTTTTGAGTATATTTCAGTTGAATAATGGGCACATCAATTGCATCGTCGTCAAAAGCGTAGAAAGCAACAGAAGACTTTTCGCATCGGGACGAAGCACTGATTGTTCCGACTGTCTTTTAAGGTCTATGGAGCAGTAATAACATGAAAAAATGAATGTAATAAATAAAATGAATTTTTTTTAATTTGTGATTTTTTTTTTGTGAATGTCAACCCCCACGCGCCAAATAAATATCAAACTGATAGATTTCCTGAAACAAAATAGCATGAAAAGTGCAAATTTTTTGAGTTTAATAGGTAATAGGTAGCAAAAGTGACATTATCTAGACGATGTTGAGATTCATTACAAAATTTCCGTTTTGCTCAGATGAAAACCAAGTTCCAATAACTGTCTGGTTGAATTTTACTAATGAGCTTTTTGCTCATTTGCGAGATAATTGTAATCATGGGTATCCAACTTGCAGTATTAATTGATAGAACTTTTGCTTTTATTGGAGGTTTTTTTACCTGCATAATCAGAATCTATTCATCTGTATCGAATCCCACCTAGTTTTTTTTCATTTCTTGATTAACAGAACCCAATTAATGTTTTACTTCTTTCAATAAAAAAGACTTCAGAAATCATTTCAATTTAGTTACTGTGGTTTTTATTTGTGGTCAACTTTGAATCGTAGGGTCGAAAATGTTTTCTTTCTTTGAGATTTTCAAGCTTTCATGTGACGTGGGCCAACTTACTTATTGTTATAATTAAAAAAAGAATAGTTTTTGAGCCGGGTGTTTTTACCCGTAATGCTTCGTGCAAGTGCAACACAATATTCATGCCAAATTTATCAAATTGGTTATGTGTACTTT